GATGTTTCCCAACGCTCGCAGAAAATGAAGAAGGGGGACCTCCGCCGCAATGTTCTCGATCCCAACAACAAGTCACGGAAGGACAAGGAAGACAGTGTTGCGTCGGCAAGTCGGGACAGTACCCCGGATGCATCCGCTATGGACGAGGAGGCTGCTGGTGATAGCTCAAACTCCAATCCCCGCGTAGATCGGCCAGAGAGGCAATGGGTAGAATATACCGATGCTCCCACGCCTTTCGGCGACAGAGAGTTCGAACACGAAGAGCCCTACCAACGTGTAGAGTACAACATGTACTCCAACGCTTCGATTTACTGCTTCTTCCGCATGTTCGTCATGCTCTACGAGAGGCTGCTGAAGCTCAAGGATAGCGAAGAGGAGGTACGAGAAGTCATCGCGCGCGCCAAGGAGCCAAAGGCAGCGCAGAAGCTCAAGATGCTCGACAAGCAGCCCGACGACTTCTTCAAGGACACATCGCCATCAGCGAACTACTACCAACAGCTTCTCGAAATGTTCCAGGATCAAATCTCTGGCGAAGTCGAGATGAACTTTATCGAGGAGACTTTACGAAGGTACTATTTGCAGATCGGGTGGCAGTTGTACTCGTTCGACAGGCTCCTGAGCTCGCTTGTTCGATTCGCTCTTGCTGTTGTCAGTCATGATAACAAGGATAAGAGCCTTGATATCTACAACCTCTTCAGAAAGGATCGCGTCAACGATACCACAACTCACAAGAACGAGATTAGCTATCGCAAGGCTGTGGAGAAGCTCGCCAAGGACGCTGACACCTACCGCATCACCTACGTAAGCCAACATCACCCCCCTTCTATGAATCTTGTATTGATGTTTTTACAGAACCCCGCCAAGATGTGGGCGCACGTGCGGCTTTTCAAGAAGGACGACCCGACCTTTGATTTCACCACGCTCGACCGGATCAAGCGCTGGCGAGCATACGTCGCCTCGTACATGGCCGTGGAACCCACCGAAGAAGTCGACCTCTCCCGTGTCAACTACCCGTACCTCAAGAAGCGCCTCGCTCGAGCCGAAGATCTCACCGAGGAAGAACGCTTCGACCACGTCAAGCACAGCGACAAGATCACCGTCTCCATCAGCCCCGCTGCTTACATCATGACCTTCATCAACAGCGAACCCTTCGGCACAGGTGGTGTCCAGTACTTCCTGCAACCAGACGCCGTGCGCGCGGGTCTCAGCGAGGCCGTCCCCAACCCAGCTGAAGAGTACAAGAAGCTCAACGACGAGCGAAGAGAGAGGGTCCAGGATATTCTCGTCAGGAACAACACCTGGATGAAGGACCTCAGCCGGGACGACGTAGACGCCAAAAAGGCGGCGTTCAAGAAGGATCTCGAAGAGCCCAGGAAGGTGGCCGATAATGAAGATGTGGACATGGATGGCGCAGACGGTCTCGACTAGGCGCTTTATCCTTTTGTTCGCAAAGACTATGCGGCGGGGTGATTGGCAACGCATGTTCTTGCGTTTCTGGCCTGGCGTTCTTTTGTGTGGTGTGGCGGGACTTGAATGCCAGAATGCGAGCGGACGAAAAGGCCTGGTATTCTACAGATTCCTTCTGGCTTCGTTTCAGTTTTGCATGTTTCCCGCGTTCACGCGTTTGGAAGGGGTGGCTGGGTGGGTGCCATGTGCAGCACAAGGCGTGTCTTCGCACAGCACAACTATCGGTGGGGGGGTTTCTTCTCTTTCCCTCCCCCTCCTCTCTCTCTCTCTTCGAGATGGGCGCTGGCGGCGTTTGTTACGGATATGATAACCCGACTCGACTCTTCGTTCCCATCTATATCCAGTTTTTGTGGTGTGTTTTAGTAGGATTGCGAATTCTATTTTCATTTTTTGAAGCTTGCTTTCTGGTTGTTGTGTGAAGATACTTGACGTGAGTATGAGGTGGTTGGGCAGTATGCTTGTATAACAAGTATATACATGGTGTAATTACATTGCGTTATGTCCGCATCTTAACACGTGATCTTTTTACAAGAGGAGATAGCCCAAAGCCCCTATCGCAGCCATCAGGCATGTTAGACCCCCGACGAGGAGTTGCTGGGCGGCACTCTCATCTACAGGGCAACTGATCTCTGGCTCTGGAGCCCTTCCAGCCTCAACCCACATTAGATTCTCATCAGAGCAGAGACTTGCCGTCAAGGCCGCTGCAATGCTTGAAGCAGCGGTAGAATCGATATCGACTCGGCAAGGAGTGGGAGTGACGGTTGAATTGTCCAAGATTGCGCACTGTTCGCCCACGCCGTAGGAGCCTCCGGTAACTTTCGTAGTATCCACGACGTTGACAGCTATTCCCTGATCTCCAGGGCAACTCTGGTCTTTTGTTGCGTCGACAAGATCAATACCCTGCGCAGTCTTCTTCGTGGTGAACTTGATGCCTGAGCCGAAGCGTTGCCCTTGGGAATCTCGATAATGTATTTCCCGAAGAGGGTCGTATGTACAATTAGACCAGCGCAGGAACCAGTTTAACATCCATTTGCCCTCTATGTTGAGTTCTGTGTAGTGGCGATATACGAGCTCCGGGTCGGAGCTGGACGTGTCTGTCCAGTTGAGGGTTCCGTCCCGATAGTGGTCGCCGAAGCTTCCCTCGTCGACGATTGAGCCGTTCGTTATATTCCAGACTTGGAAGCTGAGATGCAAACCAAGTAACGTCGCGAGTTCGGGGTTCCGAACTGCAAAGACGATGGGCACATATGGCGCTGGCGCGTATGTGTCGTTGCGCGGGAAGACTAGGTCTACTTCTACGACACCTGAGGTTTCGCTGGCAGCCGCATCAACAGCTCCAAGCAAGGAAACGAATAACCAGGTGATCCAAGTAAGAACCCGCATTCTGGGAGCGAGGGACGGCCGGAAGGCTGTCGGCAGTATCGAATTGAAGAAGAAATCGTAGCAAAGGCCCGGTAAGTAATTCAGTGAGGTTGAGAAGCCACAGGACAAAGTATGAAACTCGCCCAGGGGAGCGACATTTGTACTTGTTATTGGAAGGATTAACGGATAATAGGAACAAACCCGATCAAAGCTCTATTCCTAGTAGAACGATAAACGTACGGTCGGGTACAATAGTCCAAGTTTGGGACAAGAATGGATGTAGCTCGCCAGGGGCAAGGACCTACTAAGGTGCGGCACGGGTTCCAAAAGGGTAGGCTAGCGGGGGTCGATGCCGTGAGAGCCGCATCGCCATATTCTTCTGGACATTGCGCTGGAGCCTAAGATCTTTTCGCGGGTAATTTTGGTTATGTACGTCGGGGGTATGGATAATCGGTAGCGAAGGGTTGCTAAGTTTTCGGGGTCGTGTGAAGTGGTTGGTAGATGTCTAGGTGATTCTTGGCATACCCACATATTGCCTTGCTTCCTATAGTGGTTAGCTCCTGAGAGTATTCCAATGTTAGCTTATGCATGTATGCTGCATCGATTGCAGTGGTCGTCTCTGTGCTCAGTAATATCAGCGAGGAATAGCTCGGCAGCTTTATGGTGGTGATCGGGACGAACATTCCCTTCCTGCTCTCCTCAATCACACCTTCCTTTCGAGTTTGAAGAAATAGTGATGGAGCATAGCGTGGTATGGAGCCGAATATCTGAGTTCTTCACTGTTTATCACTCAAGTCATACTGTAGAACTGAATGTGGAAGATGTTTGTTTCTATCGATTCCAACTCCGTAAGACGTTCCAATATCCACTTCTCTTGACAGTATTAGACTTGAGTGCACACCTCGCAATGCCATTCATTATGGTAATTCACAGCCCCGCAGTCCTTACAGATCCAGCCTTGATTTGACATGCTGTGGATCTTTGCTTCGGACTTTTGTTGACACAAGTGTAGTTCGTTGTTGAGTTCAATGCGGACTCGTTGCTGGAGGTAGGCTTGATGTGACAGTGGGGAAATGTATGTGTGCGTTTTGATTTACTATAACACAGTCAGCATTCGGAGTAACGGCAAGAGACTGCCTAGGTAGGGGTTAACTACGTAGCGTTTTGTGGAGTCGTTGTTCATGTGTCAGTAGCAGACATCGCCGCGGGGGTTTTATATCAATTCGTTTCCAACATCGAAGGTTTGCTAGTTCTTCCAGGAAGAGCACATTCCTAAACTGCGAAGCCAACTTCACGCTACGATTTCAATTTGTAACTTGGATGATCGGACATAGACCACCTCCTCTCATGATTCACGTACCACTAGATCGAATTGTCACTCTTACTCTTGAATCCCTCATACTATCGTAGGTGATAAATAGACCCAATGTGCATGATCCAAAACCAGCATCGCTATGATTCCCGTCATTTCTCTAACATACACCCCTGGCTCGTCAGAACATCCTAGATTATAATGTCCACAGACGCGCGTCTAGCAGCTCTCGAGGCTCTCGCCCGTGAAAACCAAGAAAAGATCGAAGGACTAAACCACACGAACTGGCTACTCAGCAACCAAAACATCAAGATGCAAGAAGAACTCGCCAAGTTGGAAGAAAAGTTACGCAACGAGTATCCCGACTTTGATACCAGGCGCATCAACCATTCCAGCTTTCAGGCCAATACAACGCCACCTCTTCATGACCCATCCGTCGCTAGAGATGTCTCTCACGCTCGCCCACAGCTACTTCAGCGTCCACCACCAGGACCGTTATGGACACCATTCTACATGACCGCCCGCGACGCCCAACGACTATATCTAGAGTTCGTGATACCAGGTTCCAAAGGCGAGACGTTGGAGATAGCTGTGAACAACGTAGATCTGGCCTTCATACTGCAGCAGACATTGCGACGGAGAGGGTGGGGCGAAGCGACGACGAAGAGGGGTGTCGAGAATTTTCTAGAGCAGCCGATGATGAAGGTAACGTGGACGGGCAGAGAGGGAGAATTTGGGAATCTGACCTAGTCGCGCGAAGAGGTTGGGTTGTGATGTATCTTGATTTGAGAAATGAAATATATTAAGAAGGAGCATTTGGTATCTCAACGCCGACCCATGCATATTAGAATCCCGATGTTCAATCGTCTTTGTGCTTTTCGTCAAAAGCGAGCATGAGGCCCATGGCCCGCTCGTATGTCCACATTGTAACAGCGCTGGCTGGCGCAGCTTTCAGAAGACTGACCGTCAACCCACGGTACATTCCCCGTCTGCCTTCGTGCTTCCATATATGCGCAATGGTACTGATGACGCCGGTATATGTCGGTATGTTCCGATGAACGTATCGCTCGCGCATCGGCCCTTGGACTTGAAGTCGCTTGCGCGTGGTATCGAGCGGGTAGACGGCTGTTTTGGAGAGAACGCTCGCGATGACACCGGCGACGGCATCCGAGCTTCCGAGTGGCAGTGGTATGGGAGAAGAGGCGGTTATGGGCTTCAAGCTTTCGTAGCTAGCGAAAAAGAGGCCCATGTACGGCACAATCTGGCTCACGCCTGCGCCGAGACCGCGAAAGAAGCCTCTGGGTCCTTCATGGTGCGCGATGTGCTTGAGAGACGCGATGATGGAGGTATAGACGCGGTCTTTGCCTTGCGCAGCGAACCGCGTGCGAAGAAGATCGAGCGGGTATGTCGCCGTCGTCGCAGCGGCACCCGCGCTGGCTCCGCTGAGGAAATTCGCGACTGAGCTGGGAAGCGTATATGGCGGCGGAATGGTCTCTAGCCAATGCGATATGTACGTGTAGGCAGAGAACTGGGCGCTACCGTACGTCAAGTACATGAGCTCCGCAGGTATGTTGCCCTTCCATAGCCCCGTGACACCCTCTTCGCGAAGAATCTGTTTGAGGGTGCCCAATGTTCCTTTGTAGACGGGTCCTTGGACATTGCGAACGCTGAACGGGTCGGAGAGTGAGTGGATTTGGAGTTGCAGGCGGATCTTTATGACGTCGAGGGGAGCTATCACGAAGCTGTCGCAATGTCAGCCATGTGCGCGAACAAGGGAGATTAGACATACCGCGACACCAGGCCTGCCACCGCACCTGCGACGACAACCTGTCGCTGGGAGCCCTGCCAGTCATATTAGCCCTGCCTCTGCGAGCATATCGTGTCGGTAAACGGTGAAGATAGACAAGCTCCTACCTCATGCTTCAGCTGTGCGACACCCTCAGACATGCGCCCAGCGCGTCGATTGAGACACGTGCTATGTGTCCGCGCGTAATTAGCTACCCACCGCCGATTCTCGGTAGGACACCTGTAATTGCAAACGTGCCGGGCAAAGGGTAGTAGAGACCTCGGTTTACGGGTTGATTGTTTCCACCACGCTCGCTCCCTGACGTTGAAAAGCAAGGAACCCCGCCGTGTCCCGTCACTGCCAACAGCTGCGGCCGACCATGTCTTTCACCATCACCACCAGAATACCGCTACGGAGTCTGAGATTGCAAGTCACCACTTCTCGCAGGATTGCTATTGCTGTTCAGAGACGGCGTTTCTTCTTCAACTCGTTCTGGCGATCACCTAAGCCGGCCGAGCATGCTGATTGGAGCCCCGCTACACATGGCCCTTTTCGGCCAACCAAACGCCAGGAACAGCTGCAACAGCAACAGGAGCAAGAGCTGAGACAATCGAAAGAGCAGGAACTTCTCGTTCATGATGAATCCAACATTGGCCAGCTTGACGGTAGCCCAGCGAAGAGAATCGCGGTGAACATCGATGGAGAGCCCAAGATCTTCGACGCTGCGTTCCTTCGCGACAGCTGCACGTGTACGAAATGCATGGACCCTGACAGCAAAAACAAGCGCTTCCAGACGTCAGATATACCCGAAGATCTAGAAGGTAGCTGCAAGACAGTAGTGGATGAAGAGAAGGGAGTCTCTATCGAGCTTCAATGGAAGACAGACGTCAAAGGCTTCGGTCCGGAGCACCGTACACGGCATTCCATCGACTGGCTACGTCGCGCATTCAACACAGAGATCGAGCTACGTGGCGGAGTGCGACACGATGACAGAGTGTTCTGGGACAAGAACAGGATCGTAAAAGACAATAAGTGGCTCGACTACGACACCTACATGTCCCAAGACGAAACCCTCTTCGAAGCTCTCACCCACCTGAACCGCTACGGCCTCCTCTTCATCAAGAACGTGCCCGAATCCGAGGAATCCGTCGTAGCCCTCGCCTCCCGCATCGGTACCCTCAAAGACACTTTCTATGGCCGAACATGGGACGTCCGCTCAAAACCCAAAGCCGAAAACATAGCCTACACACCCGACTACCTCGGTCTCCATATGGACTTGCTATACACATCCAACCCCCCGCATCTGCAACTCCTGCACTCCCTGCGAGCACGTACCCCAGGTGGCGAATCCTTCTTCTCTGATTCCTTCGCCGCAGCACACCAACTTCGGCGGCAGTCAGAGGGGCACTTCAGAACGCTATGTACCTTCCCCGTAACATACCACTACCATCACCCGACCTACCATTACCACTTCACCCGGCCAGTGATTGAAACCTTCGCCTATCCAAACTACAGCGACCCTGCCAACCTCGCCATCCGCCGTATAAACTGGTCTCCACCTTTCCAGGGGCCCTTCGAAGCGCGTATCGGCAGCGGCAATTCCACGTCGCTTCGCTCCTTCATTGCTGCTTCGCACGCGTACGAGAACCTGCTTAGTGCGGAGGAGAATTTGTATGAGTACAGGTTGAATGAGGGGGAGTGTGTCATCTTCGATAACAGGCGGGTGTTGCATGCTAGGAAGGCTTTCGATGCTACAAAGGGTGAGCGTTGGCTGAAGGGGGCGTACGTGGATGACGATGTTTTCTTTAGTAAGCTGAGGGTGCTGGAAGAGAAGTTTGAGGGGAAATGGGTCGCTGAAGGTGTGGTTAGGCATGCCGTGAAATGATGGTGGGGGTGTCCAGTTGTCTAGGTTGCGCAGTATGGATATGGCTGTGCTTCGGAACTTGGGTTTCTTGTTGGAATCAGTCAATGGTTAGCATGCGTGGAAGCTAACACCCATGCCCCTTGCGCTACAGAAAACAGTTCAGTCTCGAAAGCTGTGAAGATGGACTTTGAGTAGCCTTTGGTTACCACCTGACTTCAATGCACAGTCAGTATCAAGACGGCATCATGACGCAAAAAGAAACCTTCTTTGCGATTCCTGGGTAACCTGATCCTGAGCACGACCGACGATGCTTCCCACCACGATGCTCTGATCAATATTTAGCGCGAGTGATTTCCAGGTCAACACCCTCGTTCAGACCGCTCTGTACCCGCTTTCCAATACTCATCACTGCCTGTTCCAATCTCGTCGGATCGAAATCCCCGCAGCCCACATGGAGATGTACAGACCGCACTGCTGGAAAGACTTGCGACAAGGAATCGAGCCGGCACTCATGCAGATCCGCAACGAGTCTCTCAGCTTCTCTTAAATAGAACGTTATGCGAACCGTGCGGATGAGCTGACGTTCCGTTGCATCAAGCCCCAGCATGAGAGTGTGGTATGATTTGAGAAAATGGGGGAAGCAGAATGTGTTGAGCGAAAAGGGAAGGAGCTTTGCTTCGTCGTAGACTTTGCGGCAGACGCGCAGGAGAGCGAGGTCATTTCGATGCGTGTATGTGGCTTTGAAGGAATATACCCAAAGTGCATACGTGCGTTGGCCGAGGACGTGTTCGTAAATGTGGTTTCTGATTTCTCCGGGTAGGCGCAAAAGTGGGGACTCGGCAGTGTTGCGCATGTATCTGTTGAGGTTAGCTTGGCATGGTGAATGGCTCTTACACACCTGCGGTGCAGTGTTTCGGTACTTACATGAGCAAGCGTGCGTCGGTCGTGCGTTCCATATCTGCCATTGTCGGCTACTCAGAGTGTCGAAGTAGTATAGCACGGGGAAAGACGTGGGGAGCACAAGGTAATTCACACAGCTAGGACTACTAGGAGAGAAAGCCAGGGTCTATTACGCTAGCCTCAAGCAGATCGCTCGCTCACCTGCCCCAAGTGCCGTTCACGGTATTTCCCGAGCTAAAAATCCGGAAGCCACGCTGAAGTGACGAGCAAGTGTCCGCGCCTTGAGACCGCATCATCTGGACGTGTGCAACGAGATCAGTCTATGTCACTATTCAACATGCTAACTCAGCAACCCAACTACATCCTACTTCTTCTTCTTCTCATCCCCATCATCGACGGCCATGATTTGCCTTACTCGGGCCTGAACAGCTATAGCTTCCTAGGTACTATCACCACGGTTTTAGTCGTACGGTCCAAATAATTCTTGAGTGTTCTCACAAACGCTCGGAACTCATTACACTGCCGTAATCCTTGTACTTTATCTTCCTTTGATATCAGTGGCTCCTCAACATAGACAGTTCGTAATCCGCGCAGCCCGCCCAGGTAAAGAGAACCACAGATGATTTGACATTCCCCACTCGAGTACCACGGCAGAGTATGTTCCCATGCGTTGAGCTGTACGGTCTGGATTTCGTCGAGCTGTGAGGCCGAGAGTCGCATTTTAAACATCTGGAAATCGAGGAGAGAGTTGAAAGAAAAGAGGTTCAGTCCGAGATATGGCAACTTGGCAGTCTCATGGTAGGTTTGACTGCAAGCGAGTAGTAAACTCAGCGGTTGTCCATTGACGCGACCGTCAGCTTGAACGTTGTAAACACGGCCGCTTAGTACGTATCTAATTGAGGCACAAGATGTTAGCCTAGGCCGTTCGTATTGTGATGGGCAGGATCTCCGCACCCGTAGATTTGGTTCCGTAGCTCAGCTGGAAGACGCAGAAGAGGTGACGAGTCGGCGTTGCGCGAAGTACTGGAAGGATCGGTTAGCTGGCAGGTAGACAGACAAGACACTGTTGTGTTACATGTCAGAGGCACGACTCCCAGGTTCCGCCATTACGAGGTTTTGGAGTTTCCTTCGAAGTAGCGAGGAGATGGGGAAAATCGGTAAAGTTATTGAGCAATTCGAGGTCCCGTAACAGAGATAGTGTGGTCGAGGAGATGTAGTCAATGTATTGATTCCGACTGAGGGAGGTGGTGGCACAGACTAACACCCGCTAGCGTTGTTTTAGTAGAGGGGAGAGCCCTGGAGAACGAACCTGGAAGGTGCGACCAGACAGCGTCGCTCCTTCCAATCTCCAGTGAATCCAAGAACTGAGTAGATAATAGTGAATCGAGTTGTGGTTTACAGTATACATACTCGAAACCTTAATAACTAGACAATTACTAAGCTAAGGTCTACTCCTACCCTAAGTATTCTTTGTAGAATGCGATTGATGTTGATTGACTTGGAACGTGGCGCTTTATTTGAGCCAGAATGACTAGCTGACTTGTCTTCGCGAGGTGTACCCCCATAGGCTGGTTTGGGGTATATTCGGAAGAGCGTCTCATCGCTAGCTCCGAGAAAACCGAGTGGCAGAGTGTTCGAAATGACACAGCATCATGCTTTCAGGTATCGTACTACCATGTGCTCCATTCCCGGTGCCGCGATGGCATACGCCGAGGAGACTGAAGCTTCTTTAAAGCGAAGCCCGTTTGCCCGTTCCCACGGGATAAGTAAGGAATTCCTCGCGTTTTGCTCAAGGAAATATTGCCACACTTCTTCGGTGAGAACTAGAGGTTCCATATTCCTCCAAGAGCGAATGTGACTGTCCAGGACACCTTGTACACATCCTATCTCGTATTCCTGTTTTCAGATTGTCGACTCTGAGACACTAAGCAATGCCACTTGTGTCTATCTTGGATGCCATGTTCAATCCCAAAAGAGCAGTATGTCACGGATCCGACTTGGCTCTCTCACGCTGCAGCTTGTTGTTTCTTCTTCTTTTTATACAAGACGGCTTTATGTCTCTTCTCCTCGAACCCAGCAGACTCCCCTCGGTGCCCTTCCATCCAACAATTCTGGCAATATAAATCACCATCACAGCCCAGGCATTTCAGTGTCGCATCGTCTTGACAAATGATACACCATGTGTCAATCTCGTCATCGACCTGTTTTTGTAGATTGGTAGACACCGGCGGCTTGTTCCTTGGCGCGAAAGATGGGGCGGAAGGCAGGCCGAGAGAATCTGTTTGTGATGGAGAAGGTGCTGCTAGAGCGGCCAGGCGTGCGGTGAATGCATCTTCGATGGCTTGACTGCTGGCAAAGTCGTCTTCGGGGAGGGTATTCGGTGCGGAAGGCAGTGTGAAGCCGCCGTCTGTGGTATCTGCCGTTGATGCATTCTTCTGGTCTCCCGATTCTGAATTATCGTCTTCTGACGGAGGAGAAGGGGGATCGTATTTCTTGCTAATTTCCAGTTCTGCCATGACTCTCGCAATCACATCATCTGCCTCGTCGTCCTCGGTTCTCTTCTTGCCATCTTCATCTTCCTCATCTCCACTTTCTGTGTCTTCCCTGGCTCCACCGACCTCTCCACTTCCTACGTTGATTTCGATGCTCTCCCAGTCCGTCAACTCCTCCTTCGATGGCTGCTCAGATTTTGTACGCCCACTCTGCGGCCCTTGTGCCCTATTATTCACCACTTCCGGAAGTATTTTGCGCATGTCTTTCAATAGCTTTCCAACATCTTGTTGTTCTTCCTTGGACACATCCCAGTCCTTCCGATAGCCGACGGCGCCGTTTAGCTCACCCAGTAACTCTTCTAGGCTCTTTTCATCTTCCTCGTTAAAGTCTACATTCGAGCCTCCTACGCCTTGGGCTATCCATTCCAGGTAGCTCGGTGCCCCCGGTGCTGCGACCGGTGCGCCGGCATTGTTCGTGGACGTTGTACGTGACGGCTGTGGCGAGCCTGAGGGAGACGCGCTACCAAGACGTGCGAAGCGAGCGGCGAGGTCATCGGTGGGTTTGGGAGGACTCCTAGGTGCTATCGAAGCGCTGTAGTTGGTATCTAGGCTGACGGAGGATGTCTTGAGCGCATTGAGGCGGGCAAGGAGGTCGTCGTCTGTTGAGCTAGGTTCGGGCATCTCTGGATGATGGGCGATCACTACGGTGATGTGTGGATAAGGACTGTGGATGTCTAAGTTATAGCGCCTACTGGACGCGGCTTATGACGCGGTGTTGCATGAAGCTCGAGGCTCGGGAGTGAGCGGAGTTGGCGCGACAGCTGTGGTGGAGCGCAGTGGGGGAGGGGCGAGCTATCCCTGACCGCGCTTGGTCCTCAATCAGACAACATGTGCGATCCAACAGCTGCATTATTAGATTACGAAGAAATACAGGAAAATCTGGACGTAAACTGCTTATTTCTTGCCGTCGGGTCGGCGCTATTAGAGATGGCTGCCAGCGGCCCGTGTCCTCGCATGCACGACATCCGGCCCCGCTTTCGTCATATCCAAAGCTCCGATGGCATCCTTATATGTCAGCATTCGTGTTCTGGTACCATCTCCATCTACTCCGAAGCTGCCGATTGTCACGCCATCTGTTCATCTCCGTCAAATATATAGCACAGCTCTATATCAATTGAGCATCCACCTCTTCACCGGACCTCCAGCACGACCTTAGATCAACCATCGCCATGGCTCTCGCACCCAAATTCGCTGGCCAAAAGCTGGCCTCCAGTGCTATTCAGCCCAAGGCTATCCACACACTTGAGCTCTGTGAGTGTTTAATCCTCGACTACTGGATTACAACTTCCCGACCCATCCCAAGGCCTCCATCAGACTAACAGTCAAATCCCAGACCTCGACTATGTGTGCCCCTTCTCGGCCAAGATGTTCAAAACAATCTACGAGACTCCTCTCCGCAAGACACTTCTCGAGAAATACTCCGACCGCGTCGTAACCATCTTCCGGCAACAAATCCAACCCTGGCACCCGTCCTCCACCCTCGTCCACGAAGCCGCCTACGCCGTACAAAAGGTCGACAGTTCCAAATTCTGGGACTTTTCACAGAAGCTGTTTGCAGAGCAGAAAGACTTCTTCGATGTAAGCCTGGTCAACGAGACGAGGAACGCGACGTACAAGCGACTAGCCAAAATCGCCGGGTCTGTGGGTGTTGATGAAGGCAAGGTTTATGGACTGTTGGAGATAAGCGATAAGCCTGGTGAGGACGGGGCGTTGAACTCAGGAAACGGAGTTACGGATGATGTCAAGGTGCAGGTGAAGGCGAATCGACTGACGGGTGTGCATGTCACTCCTACGGTTGTGTTTGATGGGGTTGTGAACAATGAGATTAGCAGTTCGTGGACGGCGGAGCAGTGGGAAGAGTGGTTGGAGAAGAATGTCAAGTGACTACATGACGGTAGTAGTAGGGCAGTTGCGCAAGGAAGGTTGTGAGTGACCCTAGATCCACAGTCCCCCCAGGTTCGCTCTCTCACCCACACGACTCTCACCCGAGCCCTTCTACGGCTGCTAGTCTCTTGTATATAAGCCGTCCATCGATACTCCTACATCCTCCACTCCTCTTCTTACTACCAATCTGAACATAATTCCCCCCCAAGCAATACTTAACGGTGATCAACCATCCTCCCTTCTCACCTCCAAACCAAATCTGACCCATGGATCCATTCTTAACAACACCTACCGGCAATCCGGCCCCCGCGCCTACCATGTCGACCGCTTCAACAAAGTCGGAGGAGTACATACCCAACTTTTCCGAGCTCCCGGACCTCCACACAGTCATCTTAGCGGAAGACAAATATGGTTACTTATTCCATGATTATAAGAACCCGTTAACATGGGCACGGGCCAATGATAGAGCCACTTCAACACGAAGTGAAGGAACCTTCGTAAGGGCTCGTACTGCCCGGTCACAGGCTCAAATGATCAAAGAAGGAGATGAGCTCATCCAACGTGTCGCACCGGAACCCACGCATCGTTTTGCCGTTTACACATGGAACTACGACGAGCAGGGCAATTTGAAACAGACACCGCACATCACAAAAGAAGAGCTAGAGGCGTGGAGGAAACTCGATCCGAAATGGAAGATTCGCCCCATTGACCCTGCAGGCATGCCGCCGCCAATGAAGAAGAAGCTCAAGGTGAGCCATGATGGACAGCTCATGCCGGGATTCGACGACTACACGGTAGATGAGCGGAGGGAGGCGCTCAAGGCGACGGCGCCCGGTGCTTCTGCCATGAAAGACGTCCTATGGAGAATTGACCGGCGGGAGCGCGAGCGACTGGCGATAGAGTTGCAACAATCTGAAGCCAAGGTGGAGGTCTTGCAGCACCGTCTCGCTGCCGAAGAGATCAAAAAAGAGAAGGGAAAAAAGGAGACGATGGCCTTGCAGATGGACGATGGGATTGCCCAGAAAACAGGAGGGACGAACGTGTTGGAGTTGAGACAGAAGAAGAGAAAACTATCGACTTGAAGAGCATGAAGGAACCACGTGGCGATATGGCAGACCTGGAGAGTTGGAACAATGGGATGGAGGCTGAGTGTCACAACGGCCAGGTTCGTGGAGCAGAATAATGAGTACGTGGCTGAGCATATGGACATCACCGCAACTGGAAGATAGGAACGTCCAGGTTGCATGGTTATGATGCGGGTTTCAAGTCAAAAAGTGATTTCAGAGTGCGATCTCATACTAGCATTAGCATAGGTACTACAAAAGTTTGATGAACCTACCTCCAATGACCATGACTTGATGTCATCATCTCGACGCTGTAGCTACCCCTTTGAATAGCGTTGCTATTCTAGAATTAGCTTTTTAGACTCTGATCAAAATGTGGATAGTGCGGCGCTGACAAGCCCCTGCTGAAAATACTTTTCGATCATGGGAACAAAGTCTAAACATGGTCCCTCCGTACCGCGTCTGAAGATTCTAGGGGTCGGCCAGGAGGAGTAGTTCCTTGAGTCGCATTCTTCCCATGCTAATGAATATGTTATCTTATATCGATGAATGACATTTCAGTGAATAGGCGTTTTGCCTGTGCACGGAGCACTTCTTCTTGGTCACTGAGTCAAACCCTCCAGTACCCTCCCCCGCTATTTACATCCCCATTCCCACCGCTAGGAACCAGTATAGTGTCCTTGAAGATCTCCTCATCTCGAATTCTCACCTCGTAGTGTACAGTTGCGGTACGCAGGAGTTGACTTCATCATTCGAGATCGCTCGCTCGATAAGTGTACAGAACCTTGGAAGGCCTCGACAGGTGGAAGATACCTTCCCGCTGAACTCAAGGCTTTACAAACAAACCCAGAGATCAGTCTCAAGGCTAGCCGTCGCCGAGAGTACCACCAACAGTATGTCGGACTACGATCGCATGTAAGTTTTCTCCGATTGCCATTTCTCGATCATAGCTAACTCAATACTAGCACTCAACTCAACCAAGAGAACTCGCCCCTTCTTCAACTCCCAGCGGAGCTTCGAAACCGGATCTACAAGTTCGTTCTGCACTATCACCTCCCCGTATACGTCGATATTCCCGCTCTGGAGGATGAGCACGGAAACTCTGTCCCTAGAGAAAACACACGGAGAATGCTAGCGCTCCTATATACATGTCGCCAAGTCCACAGCGAGGCCTCGATGATGTATTTCGCGCTTAACACATTCCAATTCGAGCTTGACACCTCGCTCATCGAATTTACTAGTAGTCTCACTGCGGAGCAACTCAGCGCGGTCAAGTCTATCGATATGACGGGAGAGCTTGTGGAAGAGATTGAGATGCGCGCCGAGCATCATGCGAGCGACAGCCCGCGATTGCACCTCGATACGCTGACCTCGCTGCAAAAGGTATCCATCTACCCTTACGCGTTCCGCTCAACGCCGATAAATCTCGATGTCATTGGAGTTTATCTAAGGGAGGCGACTGGTAGGATGGGTCTGGAGGTCATAGAGGTCGAGAGGAAGCAGAAGCTGACATAGGCAAGTTGAAATCGCGTAAGGGATTCGATGAGGAGCCATATGACTGGGAGGCCCCAACCAAATAGTCATGCAGTGCTGATCTTCATGTAACCAAGCCTCTCCGCTATTGTAGGTAGCATGGGAACATCAAGATATGTATGACTTCGTCAACCGCCATTACACGAGGTTCAATGATGCATTCATTGTTGTGAACGAACGTGTCTCTGATCTATAGTACAAGCATACAAATGAAAGCAGTACATCAAACTGACGTATTTGGTGTACAAGAAAGAAAAGTGAAACGAGTCTAAGTAAACTCTCCTAGTAGATACCCCAGGTAACCGCCTGGCCCTTAACGTTACCGTTGCACTCCATGTGGCCTTCAGCTCCCACCTTGCCGCTGCCACCGAACTTCTCGATAGCGGTGTTGATGATGTCGATGACGTCCTGCCCGCCAACTACAAAGTTGACGTTACCGTTCGTCTTGGATGCTTCAACACCGAAAGAGCAGGAACCAGACTTGGCGATCTCGCGCTGGTTGTGCCCAATGACATCCGTAGTCCAGTCAGTCGAACCATCTCCTTGGATGTTGGTGATGATCTGGCGACAGTCGTCGACGCTAGGTGAAGCACCGCTCGTCTTGTCGTCGAAAGAGGAGTCCTTGCAGTCGTTTCGGCCTGGTGGTATGTCGCACGGGTAGTGTGAGCTCGAGCCCTTGTCGGCAGTGTCCCAGGATTGGAAAGCCCTGTCTGCACTGCAGACGGGTATGCGGATGAAGCCGGGCGTCGTTACGTCGATGTCAAGCAAGTTGTCCATTGTACCGTCATTGGTGGGATCTGCAACTTCTGCGCCATTCTTGCGACCGTTCGAGGTCCAGGTCCTGACGGAGCCCTTGATGAGGTCCTCCTTGGTAATACCACCGAACGCGTCTTTCCCGTCCAAAGAGTCAAGGCCCTTGGGTGCTGAGAACTTCTGGACTCTGCATGTAGTCTGGCAAGGGCCCTTCTCCTGGGGCTCACACTTGCACACTCTAGCATCGCCGTCAGGACTGGCAATATAGTACATCTTGCCCTCGAAGCACATTCCAGTAGCTTTCATGGTGTCGTCATCCATGTATTTACCGATGTTGTCTCCATCGCAACCGTTACCGGAGTCGATGATGAAGGGGTAGGCCTTGGATACACTCCAAAGGTTTGGGATAGCGAAGCCAAAGACGGACTTCTGGATATTGGCACGGAGATCATTCTCGGTCATAGGGCTGGGAAATCTGTCGCTACCATGGACGTCCTTGGACTCTGCGCCAAGGATAAGCTTTCCATCCGAGATGATGTCCCACAGAGTATCGATGCTTCCATCGGTTCCATCGAACAACCGCTTCAACGCGATGGTAGTGACGTTGGCCCATCCAGTGATAACATTGCCCATGTAACTGGAGAAGGAATCTTGAAGTTCGACGGTCCATTTTGCGTCTGGGTCACCTAGAGTCAACAAGTCCTTGGCGATGGTTGTGCTTTGACCAATCAATGTGAAAGTAGTGTCTTTGGCGTTGTCAAATGCCGGGCCCTCCCCCTTGAAATAAGGCATCTTCTTGATGAGATTGTTGAAGAATGGCCCAGCAGCTGAAAGGGTTCCAAGGGTGAGAAGGTCGATAAGGAATAGCTCCCATGTGTGATCGGGCTCGGGTGGAATTGGCGCAAACTTGTTCTCCAGATCTCGCAGATTGGTAGCAACTACTGCAGCCACATCGAACAAGGCTTCATGGTAATCCTTGTACATTTGATGAATGAACACGAAGGAGTTCCAAATCAGCATGGCTGCGGGGCCTGAGTCTTCTGCCTCCAATCCTTGGCCACAGTCTGCGGTCGCATCGCAATTGCTGCTAGATGACATCGTACCACAGTCAGGTGAGGAGGCAACATTGGTAGTCTCGGAAACCGATTGAGAGAAGCTGATGCCACCCCTACCACGATCGGTATCTTTCCAGATTCTGATAATGTCCTTCCAAGCCTCATCAGTACTGAGCCCCACCCATTGTTCATGTGGTGTATAGTATGAGGCATCGTCGACCAGTACGTCAGTACAGTGGAAACTGGTCCAGTTGCCATTGCGTGTGTGGTCGGCCCTGGGGTCCTGGCCAGACTTGATGAGTTGCTTGTAGTCGCCCCAGCTCGCCGCCGGCTTTGGAACATCGTGGAATGTTTGCAAGTCGCTTGCCCAGTCGGTGATACCTCCAAATCCCCAGGCTGAGTACAAGGTGGCGCGTGTCTTCTTCGTACTGGCGCTCATGTAGCTCACCCATTGGGTGTCATCATAGACAAGAATGTCGCTGTTGCTGCTAGTGTCGACAAAGTTCTTGACTACACGTCCAGCCCTCTTCTGATCATTTACAATGTCTGCAATCTCGGCATCAGCAATGTACCCAGCTGTGCCGGTACATTTTCCTTTGGTTGCTTGCGAGTTTTCGCGAGTGCCCGTGTAGACGCAGCCTGGGCCCCAACAACCTGCTTCGGCCATGTTGAAGGATCGTCCATAACTCGTGATACCAACGATAACCTTGGCTCCTGGAACGCCTGCTTTGGTAATCATGGCAAGAGACTGCTTTGTCTCCGTCAAATTGACTTGACTGCGCAGGCAGTTACCTGTAGCGCATCCCTCCTGAGAATAGGAATTGTCTGCATCCCACTGGCCGTGAAGATCATAAGTCATGTAGACAATGTAATCGACCACTTTGCCAATGTCCTTGATGGGAAACTGCTTGAGGTACCAGTATGAGGAGGGGGCGGCGATGGAAATTGACTTCCCGGGCAGAAGGTTCTTCAAAACGACGAGGAAGGCCAGGTAGTTCGGGCCGTCAGCCTTGCTAGCTGCAGGTATGCCCGGAAGATCGGGTGCACCAGGGTACTCCCAATCGATGTCAACACCATCAAGCTCGTGCTTCTTGATGAAGTTCGCAATGTTGGTGGCCATCTTGAGTCGGTTGGCGGATGTGACACCTTCCCGGAAGATGTTGTACGTAGCAGGAAAGGTGGAAAAGTCCCACCCTCCGAATGACAAGATCTTCTTCGCGCCTTTGATCTTCTTGAATGCGTTAAACTGGTATGTTGATAGCACATCGCCAGTTTCAACCTCGTATGAATTCGTTAACGTGCCAAAGGCGAAGTGAATGTGCGTATACGCTGCAGTGTCGATCTGAGAGGCATCCTGGAAGAGACAGTCGCGGCCCATCCCATAGCCCTCGTAGTAGGCGATCTTGACACCGCCGCTGCCAGAGCCCTTGACGATGTCGGTTCCACAGTTGGAAATGCAGCCGTAAGTACCCGGCTTAGCAGTACCTGGAGCACCAGTGTTGGTGTCGACGCAAAAGTCTTTGGTGATGCCACATTGGCCCCAGATGTTGCAGCATGCATTCAAAGGACAGGGATTCATATCTGTAACATTTGTGCCAGCGGTGGGCGGTTTCGAGTCGGGCTTCTGCGGGCCGCACTGTGCGTTGGCAATAGGGGCTGGAAATGGCGCACTACCTTTGCTCAAACACATGTTGGTGCCTACAAAGAGGAGCTTACAGCCGTTCCAACCCCATGTGTTCTTGTTGAAGTCTTCAATCTTGTCCCTTGTGAGACTGAATTGGGCAGCAAGATCGTCGCAGTTATCGTCGGTCTTGACCTGGTATGTGTAACATGTGCCGTCCGACCCCTGACTGGGACTGAAATCCGGAAGGGTTCCACTCGAACAGCAAACGTGCTGCTTTGGCCTCAGGTTTGCACAGAAGCTAGAGTCCGAATTGATCTTGGTGAACTCTGCAGCAGCGATGCCACACTTGGCAGCCAGCTTGGCACAGCTGTCGCCAGAATCGACTTGAACGGTTCTGCAGTCCGCACGAGCGTGAAACCTGGCATGAGACGGATACCTCTTGTGTGCTTGGTGCTGACTAGTTCGCTCGAACAGCGAGGTGGAATTGGACAAGGTGGAGTTCGTAGTGCTGTTCGTGGGTACCAGTGGTGTAGTAAAGATGGCCTGTCCGGTGATGTTGGTCGATTCGGAAAAGGATAGACATGTCGCATTGGCCCAAGTTTTGATGGCAGTTTGCACTGGAGTGAATGTGCCGTTGCTAGTCACCATGAGTCCAAATATATGGTCGCTACCGTAACTTGGCTCGCAGAGCTGCATAGCCAAGCTGGGCGTCGAAACATTGAGGTTGTCGAGTTTGTCTTCAAAAAGCTTCATGGCGGAAGCGCTGAGCCCCTGATTCAACAAGCCTTGGCCAATGTATAAACCAATCGTAGCTTGACCAGACTGGCCAAACATGATGAAGGGTCGATCAGTAGCGCCATGTCCGCTGTCTGCGTATTCTCGAATTTGCGCGATGAGCGATCGGAGACCGGAGGCAGCCAGGCCGAAGCCTTCATTCCACCAGCCAATCTCGAAATCGACATCGACAGTCTGGGCGGTGTTGGTCGAATTCGGTTCCGAGCTGGCAAGCTCAGTGAAGTCGGTGCCAAACGAGGAGCAGGCATTGATACGGTGGTTGCTCGAATCGTCATCGACCTCGTCGTAAAGAGAGAAGTCGTAGAACATGGTCTCCGTACACCGCTTGATCTGCTGGAAGTTGGGATAGGCAGACCAGTTGCCCGTGTTCGCGCCAGAGATGCTGCATCGTTCTGGGCAAGGATTGGAGTTGCGGTAGCTCGGGCTCGTAGCAAGTCTGAAGTCTCCCTTCGCGGACACACTGTCCGCAAAGAGCAAGAATCCGATTGCCCTGACTGCTGGGCTCAACCATGCTGAGGCAACCATAGTTGTAATACAACAACTGAAGCTATCTCAGTCAAGATACTGAGCTCTAGGGCTGCAAATGAATGTGACAGGAGAAGCTACCAGAGTCAAAAGAGTGACTTCGGATACCTGGTGTCCTAACTATCGACAAGGAGAAGTCTGCTTTATACTGTCTGCAGTCACACCGTTGCTCGTCAAGGTTTGTATCGAACGACCTAGATAGACCTCTGACCATCTTGAGATTCGTGTCCCGCAAGACGAACTTCCGGTCAGTGGACCTAACACGGTCATTGCTTACCCGCCGTTGGGGGGCCTGTTGTGGATGCTCATTTCCGAGGCATGCTACAGTAGGTTTCCAACAAGCATGAGATGAAAATCCGCGGGTGTATGCAGGGGTTCGGTCTGAGATCAGCCCTACGATGTACCAGTCCAGGTAGCCTTACAGTCATCCTGGAGCGTTCAGCAAAGCTTTTACCCAGACTAGACCGTTCCTACAGACGGCCTGGCCCGTAGTTCAGCCGCACTTCGGTGCCGTCAGAACCGAGCTGCCCACGGTACGGCCCAACTCCCGGCAATTCCATAGATTGATCCTGATGGGGGCCTGATGCAATGGTCCAAGCGGGAAAAGTCTTGTAATCTAAAGCTATTGCTTAGCTATTGCTTACAGTCAGAATCTGACGTATCGATGTGCAATATGGTCGTCCCAATTAAGATAGGAGTGGAAGTCAATCGCTCAACAACCGAGTGAATGTGTATTAAGTAACTGTGAAGATCTTCACACCATCATGTAGCCGAATGTACCAAATGCGGCCACCAATCCTGCCGTACCTCCACCAATCAGTCGCTGTGCAGTGCTCTTCTCGTCAGTTGGACAAGAGTCTCCAGGCTTTCGAGTTGCCTGGCAATGAAGCGAGGTCATGGATGCAGAAATGTTTGAAGCAGCAGCCGCATCAATCTTGATGTTGCAGGGAGTCGGGGCCGGTGTGGTGGCTGCCATAGATGCACAAGTCTTTCCGTCATAATCCTCCCAGGTGATGAAATCAGGGACCGGCAGGGTGGCGTCGACGTTGATGGCAACTGCTTCATTGTCGGTGCAATCTCGGTTCGTTGTGGCAGCTACGAGATCTAATTCTGGTGCGGAACTTTTGATGGTGAAGAATGTGGAGCGACTCGTGCGGTTGGCTGCGAGGCCACCTCCGAGGAATGCAAGCGAGTCCTCGGTGCAACTGTTCCAGCCCACGTCCAAGCGAAGCGCCCACACGCCCTCTTCGGTGAAGTTCGAAATAATTTTGACCTCCTGATAAGGCTCACTGCCGGAGAAGTTTGCCCATCTTAGGTGGTAGAAGAGGTCTCTGCTAGCCTGTGTTTCCACGTTCGTGACCGTCACGTCTAGCGTAGGATTCAAGAATCGCCCTAGGTCCGGGTTCTGGATGGCGACGATAACTGGAAAAATTTGCGTCGCGGCATAGGTCTCATTGCGAGGAAAGACGAGGTCCACCTCCAGCATGCCGGAGGCTGCGTTGACGGCTCCCGCGCAAGCGGCGAGGAGTAAGGCGACCAGCATGCTGACGCCAAGCAGAAACGGTAGATAGGTGGCTGAGGAATTGGGGGCGAAGGTGCGTCGATGTAGTCGTAGAACAGAAGGAGACGGTCGAGAAGTGGAAAAAATATAAGTGGAAGATTTAGGTTACATTGAGGATCGATAGAGTGAATGCAAGGTACCTTGCTGAAGGCGGACGGCGGCCTATCAAACGACCGTGCAACAACGCTAGCGGCTAAAACGCCATCACACCCGCTTGGCATCCACGCCTTCGCCTCCACCTCCCTCGCGCGAGCCGCGTTCTTGCCGTTCCTCATGTCCACTTCCGGTCCGTTCCCGAACCGTTATGGCTGCTGCCTCAAGTGCAGGGACAATCAGGGGAAACTCTTCACCGGCCGCTATTGTGGCTGCGCTAGTGGTATCGTCAATTGCTTCTCTTACGCCCCGTTGTCAGCGCATCCGAGGTTCCTGAATGAACTATGCAGGCCGCTTCCAACACCAGTGACCCGCCTGGTCTGCCGCCTAATTATTCGAACGCTAGAACACGAAGAGTCAAGTAAAGAAGATGGGGAACTGCGATGAAAGGTATAAGAAAGATGGCATAGAGCGTCGTTGAGTTCCCATCTTGCCATCAAGACATCAAGCTTGCTCCATTCCACACTCGTTTCTACAACTTTTCTGTAATACTGCAAACTCCCAAAGATGCAACTTACACGTCTACTTGCTGCCGGTTTCCTCACGGGATCGGCCCTGGCATGGCCCGCTCATCTTCGCCGGGGCGTTGACTGTGGATTCTCTACCACAGCTGACAGCGGTGCGACGTGCGAGAGTTTTGCATCCAGTTGGGGACTGTCTGTCGACGATCTCAAGAATCTGAACCCCGGTATCACCTGCCCCAACCTCGACACCAGCAATGAGTGTAAGATTCTCCCTACGAACTGCATTTGATGTATACGCTAACTTCCTACACCGACAACTAGACTGTGTGATTGGCACTGTTACCGACGAGCCGATCACAACTTCGACTCCTGTAACCACCACCACATCAGCAACCACTAAGCCGGCCACCACCACCACTTCTGCTACGAGGCCCACCACTTCCCCTACGACTACCAAGGCCAGTACCACCACCACGGCCGGCAATGGTGTTGCCACTCCCATGCCCACGCAGCCCGGAATGGTATCCAACTGTAACAAGTTCTACTACGTCGAGAAGGGCACCAACTGCGGCCAAGTGCTCGACAGTCAGAAGATCAGCCTCGGCGACTTTGCTAAGTGGAACCCCAGTGTGAATAACGACTGTTCTGGTCTGTGGGCCGAAGTGAACGTCTGTGTTGGCGTCATTGGTGGAGGAACCCCCGTCACGACCGCCAAACCGTCGACCACTACATCCGCAGGAAACGGCATTCAGACACCTCAGCCAACCCAACCCGGAATGGTCTCTAACTGCAACAAGTTCTACTACGTGCCTAAGGGTTCTAGCTGCAGCCAAGTGCTCAGCAGCCAGAAGATCGCCCTCACTGACTTTGCCAAGTGGAACCCCAGTGTGAATAACGACTGTTCTGGCTTGTGGGCTGAGGTCAATGTCTGCGTTGGTGTTATCGGAGGTACCCCGGCCACAACTACTACCAAGAAGCCAACCACCACCACCTCTGCCGGTAACGGCATCCAGACCCCTCAACCCACCCAGCCTGGCATGGTATCCAACTGCAGGAAGTTCCACTACGTCTCCAAGGGCGACACTTGCCAGCAGATCATCAGCTATGAGAAGATCACTTTGGCGAACTTTGTCAAGTGGAACACTGGCGTTGGATCCAACTGTCAAAGCATGTGGGCAGAGACCAATGTTTGCGTTGGCGTGTAGAGAGGTCGCGACGTTTCTGTTCCTGTAATTGATTGGCGGGTGGAGCAGACGAGGCACGGCAATACCTGTCGAGAGTTGTTCGTAATGCAGTCATGTTCATGCAGTCATTCAGACTTCTATATTCATAGCACCGGACAAGTCCCTCTAAATAAACACGAAGCTTGAACGATGAGCTTGACGCCTGAGAAGCTCAGTCCTAGCGCAACTCAAGGAACTTCAACAACGAGATTATCTGCCCAGTCCACCTGATCTTCTTTATTCCTCACTCTACTTCCCTTGTCCCTTTGCTTCCTAGTCTTACTATCGCGTGCACCTTCTCTTACAACCTCCTCTAGTATTTCTCTCCCTGCGTCATCCTCGCTAATCAGCTTCGCAACGAGACTGAAAAGCACAAGTAGCGTCCACGCAGCATCGTTGCCGCAATCGTGCAACTTTGTAGGTATCATACCGACCAGGCGACATAGCGTTCGGAGCGATACGTTCCATCCAGGATCGTCAGCCTTGTACATCTCGCGAGCAAGCTTCTGCGTGTCGATGATCGCGGTCACGGTGGCTATGTCATTTATGCTGATACCCGCCTTGTTGAACGAGAGAAGATCCGAAGGGATGTCGTGGCCAACAAGGATAATCGGCAGTCGCTGTTCGTTTGAGTCATTGACTTTCGATAAGTCATACAGAGATAGCTTGCGCGCGTTACAGCACGGCTCTCTGTCTCCATTGACGCAGTGAGAAAAGATGTGGTTGAGGACGGCAGCGCGCTCGCTCCATCGCACTTGGTGCACTTGGCCATGGAACAAGGCCCGCAATTGCTTTCTATTTACGCCTACTCGGCCGTACCGGAAGTCGAAAGTCTCTGTGTGGAGGGGCGGGTGAGTATGGTGCATCGGTGTTGAGAAGTGTGAAGTTGTGAGACTCCTCGTGTCGAGTGTGGATGCGCCGATAGCGCTGAAGCGCTTGGGGTTTCCGTGTGCGATATCGAGGGAAATCAATACGGGGTGTGCGTGAGAATTCGGGTTGTCGTGGTTGCTTGCCAAAAGCTGCTGGAACAGGCAACGCACTTCTTCAAGTGAGATTGGGGGAGGAAACATGGCTTTGAGAGTACTGATTCTTGCTGTTACGGTCACTTCGGCTGAGCTGGAATTGACTGTCGTGCAAACATCAGAGATGGACATCAATTACAAAATGTACTCTCCTTTGACTCACCACTTGGCCGCAGCCATACTTTGGTTCCCTTCTGCTGGTTCTGTGGTAACCATGGGCGGACGACAAACCAATCACAGCTTGTGCAATTCGCATTTGGAAAGTACAGATGCACAAAGATAGAAAACCTCGATAATTCGGTGTCTTACTACGACACAACACTTTTCGATTGAGAGTATCTCTGATATCATATCCATCATAAGGGTCGTAAGCCCATACCGAACAAAAACGCCATCTATCCATATGCGCTCATAAAAGCTACTTTTCTCCACCTGGTACAACCCCACGGCACTCAGAGTAAGATTTACTGAGCAGCCGGCGCAGCGTTGTTGGAAACCTTTCCGTTCGTGATCTTGGGACCAACAACGGCCTCCTCAAGCGCACGCTTGACATCGGCAACAAGATCCGCCTCATCCTCAACACCACAGCTGATGCGGACGAGATCGTCAAAGACGCCGGCTGCCTCGCGCTGCTCCTTGGGAATACCACCGTGTGTCATGGCGCTGGGTACCTCGACGAGCGATTCAACTCCACCCAGCGACTCAGCCAGTGTGAAGATCTTGGTCGCTTGGCAGAAGCGCTCGGCAGCCGCGTGACCGCCCTGGATACGGAAGGAAAGCATACCGCCACCCATTCCGTCGCGGTGCTGCTTCAGCGCAATGTGGTGTTGTGGGTGGGAGGGGAGACCGGGGTAGTTGACGGAAACGACGTGTGACGAGGCCTCGAGAGCCTTTGCGACGCCCGTAGCGTTCTTGGTTGCTTCCCTCGCGCGGAGATGCAGGGTCTTAAGACCGCGGTGTGCGAGCCAGCAGTCGAAGGCCGAGGGAACGGCACCAATGGCGTTCTGCAGGAAAGACAGACGCTCGTATAGCTCATCGGAGTTGAAGGCCGCGGCGCCCATGACGACGTCAGAGTGGCCGTTGATGTACTTTGTGACGGAGTGCACCACGATATCCGCGCCGTGGTCCAGCGGGTTCTGAACGTACGGGCTCATGAAGGTGTTGTCGACAACCACCATGATGCCATGCTGATGCGCAATCGTGGAGATCTTGCGGATGTCCACAAGCGTCAGCGTGGGGTTCGACGGCGACTCGATCCAGATGAGCTTTGTGTTGGGGCGGATGAGCTCGGCGATGTCGATCTCGATGCTCGGGCTGAAGGTGACTTTGACATCGTGCGTCAGGGCGACCTTGGTGAAGTAGCGGTGCGTTCCGCCGTAGACGTCTGAAACGGACACGACGTGTGAGCCTGCGGCGAGCGATTGCAGGATGTTGGCTGTGGTGGCGGATCCGGACGAGAATGCGAGCGCATAGCGGGCGTGTTCAAGGGCTGCGACTGCCTTTTCAAAGTTGTCTCTGCAGGCGCATTAGTTTTGAATATCTGGGTGGTGTCGCGGATGCGTACCGGTTTGGGTTCGAGGAGCGCGAGTACTCATACTCGCCTATGGGCTTTCCAACGGCGGTTTGCGCGAATGTTGTCGAGAGGGAAATCTGATTGGATTAGCCGTGTGTTTGTGAGACATGCGCCTGAAATACTTACGGCTTCAATGACAGCTCCGGTGACGGGGTCATGAGGGCTTCCGGCATGCACGGCGAGCGTGCCGAATCCGTGGACTGGTGACGGCGCGCGTGGCGGGGTGTCGATGGGGTGGTCGGGGAGCGTCATCTTGATCTTCTGAATACTCTGTGAACGGCGGGCGGAGTTGACGTGGTGGTACGAAGGAACTTGAACCTCGAAATGCAGCGAGAGGACAAACTTCTTTCTAAATTTCAGGCCCTCCGAGGTGTTGACGCCTATAGGTAAATTATTGTTCTAGCGACAAATCCTAGCGCGCTTTCTATCGGTGGTGCATGTGCGGTTGACCGTGATGGCGCGGATGCAGAATAATTCTTTCTTGCAGAATTTCCTGTCAAAGTGGAGATGGAAAGCAAGGGAGAACCATCTTCATGGCTCCTGCCATCTTATACCCAACAGGCCGCGTTGGACGTCTGACATTTCTCAGCAGCAGATTAATCAGGCGGCGATTGCTCAAACCGTGGCATACACAGCTCGGCCCAAAGCGCGCGTTGGTTTCGTGAGCAAGCGGAGATGGTGTCATAGTATTCTCCGACCCGCCTTGTGACGGCCTTGGCAGCTTTTCGATTACACATCGCGCTGCGAGTGCTACCAAGTCCAGCAGGTTGTTCGGGCGAGATGCTTTATAGGGTTTTGGGATACGTAAGCATAATTTGTCGTTGGCGCTCAATGGTAAGTGATTTGCATCGTAATCTGATTGAAGTGGAGAGAGGTCTATGAAGGGCGCAAACGTCTATGGGTATCTTGGGGGTATAATGGTGATGCTTAGTATGCATCCTCCTCTGGCCGGCTCTTAAGCTTCACATATCCACTTATGCCTTTCTTTCGCGCTGTCTGCTCGCTATGGGAGACATGTCCCGTCTGTGATGGTGAAGACTTTCCGTTCCTCGTAGTCGACGTGAGGTAGCTACGTCCATCGTCGAGGCCGGTGTTACCTCGCCGTTTCTCACCAACAAGAATAGGGTCTTCCGCGATCAAGTTCTCCATGTCTTCCCATTCTTTCTGGTTCAACACGTCCCATTCTTGCGCCTGCTGCTCAGCCAACAGATATCCCCTCAGCTCGTCGATAATCTTAGTTGGGGACAAGCCCCATCCGCTGATGTACTGTGCGTTCTCGGCCATGCCTAGGAAGGAGTGTGAAGTAGCGTGTGAAAGCTGCCCAAAGCCTACGGGTGACTTGCGGAGGATCGATCTGGAAGACCTGGAAGTGGTGATGTCTTTGTCCAATGGATTCTCGAGGCGTTGGGGATTGTATGTTTCTTGCGTGATCAGTAGTCGGAAAAGATTGCGACCGATCGAACAAGTATCCTCCCACTGTTTGAAGCTGTCTTTCATGCCCTGGGTTCGACATAGCCAAGCCACATTGTACGCAAGCAGAGACACGCCTTCAATAAAGGACGAGTATGCAGGAGGATCTTCGGCGCAGAGGTGACTCAGGGGGCGGTCGACGAATAACGCGCGCGGCTTCGGAAGATGGATACGCGTCTCAAGCGTTCGGGACGCTTCCGGACTGGCGCTGGACGAATGTGAGGGTGTCGAGCCAGGGAAAGGTACTTTCTTGCCCTGGTAAGAGGATGCCGGACTGAAGATTGTAGGTTGAGGATAATCGGCATGGGGGAGTGTGATTTCGGCTGGGAGACGGATGCCCAGGTAAGCAGCGACTCGAACGACGAGCTGGGCCACGGCAGCCAGTGAGGCAGATAGGCCGTCAGGCGTCACATCTGATTCAAAGTTAGCATATCGCCTCGACAGGTGCGGTTTAAGACATACCATTCAGATCTCGAAGATCGTATATTCGCAAACGCGTGCCGGGCCCGATATTGTAGACCTCTTTGATACCGCCGTCCCTTGTCTTTCGGCGCTGCATCTTAAGTCCCGCGAGCCTCGCAGCAGTCGTGCATAGCTGCATGCGCAGATCTATGGTATCGTGGTGCATCTTGTCCGCGTTGTAGTCCGACCGCTTGACCCTCTGCTGCACCTTGTCCAACTCGTTCGCCCGCCGCGATTCGATGCCGTATGTGGCGGACGAGAGGTCTGACTTGCGTTGCGCGTTCGCCGCTCGCTTCGCTTCAAGCTGCTTCCTGGTATCCTCCATCTGCCGTCGGAGCTGGTCGGCATGCTCTGATATCATGCCTAGTCGGTCCTGTATCTCTGCCGTTTCTGCTTTCGTCCGCTCCCAGTTTAGATTGTTCGTACACTCTTGCCTGTCGACCAAGAGCCCGCCTTTCGAGTCGGTGAGAGAAACGTGCTGGATGGCCTTGTCTTCCGAGCCGTTGATGATGGCTGTGACGTGTTTCGCGACGGCATCGCGGTCTATCAGCGTCTTTGCGAGTTGGATGCGGGGCTGTTCGAGGTATGAGCGCGCGCAGGTCATGCAGTGGAGAGGCTGGCTCAGGCTGCCGTCTCTCCCGCAGATGTCGCACTCCATGATGAGTAGAGGTTATGTTATGTGATGTCGCCTGCAGAAATGCCGTGGAGTGGTAGGTCTGGAAGGTGCAGCGAGACCATGGTGGTAGTGATTCGTCGAGGCGGTTGGCGAGTGCCTATGTAGCCATGGGATCCGTCAGTGGGATTTTCGGTGAATGTCTAGGCTCCGTGAGTGTTAGCGCTCTCCTCTGTCGTGAAGCATAAGCAAGGCATCCAGAGGCTGGTGGTTGAAGAGGTTGTGTGATGGAGGCGGTACTCAGGCAGAGGCGCGATTTCGCGAGTCAGACGCTCCTTCCAACGTCATGCCGCGACTGACCAATTCGGATCGCGCTAACGCACGTGGTATGCGTGAGTGAACCTCAATCTACCTTTTCGAGTACTGCGTTCGATCTGATAGAACTGATATTTCGCGTCGAATATCTTTCTGATGACGATGAGACGCGCTCGCGATCACTCTACTTACCTACAGCACTGACCAAAGGCATCGCAAATGAGCAGGACCCCGGATCACGAACC